TTTAGAATGACTGGTATCAAATTTACTATAAAGTTACAATAATCAAAATAATGTGGCACTGGCATAAGCACAAATATACAGAGAAATTGACTTAAAAAGTAGCATAGACCTACTATAAGGGCCTATCCTCAAAAAGCTCTAGAATATACATAATACAATGGTTCAGAGCACCTGTGCTCCTAAGGGAAAGACAAATTGAAAGTATTGTGAGATATCATCATGCAGTTATTAAAATGACTAAAATTAAACTCTGGCAACATGAAATGTTGTCCAGCATGTAACTGGCACTCTGATGCACTGCTGATGCTGAATGAGCCAGCCACATAGAAGAGTGTATATAGTAAGATGCCACTGATGTAAGATTCTAGGACAGTTTAAACTAAACCTCTCATTTCCAGAATGCAGCTTTCTGAGGCCAACTATGATAAGGAGACTCACTTTAAAAAGTTGTTGAAGCGTCGATAGAAATGTTTTACATGTTGATTAGGGTGGTGATTATGTAAGTAATTGAATTAGTCAAGGCACATCAGATTGCATATTTAAAATCAACAATTCACTTAATGTACATTATACCTGTAAGAGGCAAAGTTTGGCCCTCGTGACCTTCTCATGTGCGTATCGTACCGAAGAATACGTTTTGCCAAAGAAACCACAGAAACTTTGAAATAAAGTTTGTTAAGCAGCTGACCCAGAGATAAGAAAGTTGTCCTGCAAATCCAGGAAGGCCCAATGTGATCTCATGAGCCCTTCAAAGTGGAAGAGATTGATAAAAGATGAAAAATGTAGTAGAAATTTAAGTCAGAAATTCCAAGTAAGGGAGAGGATTTGATATACCATTGGTGGCTTTATATATGGAAAGTGAGAGAGGAACTGAATTATGACCTCAGAGGCAGATCCTCCCCCAGTGCCTCCACTAAGGAGTGCAACCCAACCCAAAACCTAGGCACAAATTGCTTTGGCCTGCTATGATACAGAGTAGAGTAATCAGCTAAGCCAATCTAGACTTCTGATCCATGGAAACTGAGCTGATAAATTCTTGTTGCTGCAAGTTGATAAGATTGAGGTAATCTGTTACACAGCCATAGCAACCTAATAAGATACTCAACGCTGATGTAAATAATATTTTTAAAGATTTACTTATTTTCATTTGAAAGGCAGATTTTACAAAGATAGGAGACACAGAAAGAGAGAACTATCTTCCATGTGCTGGTTCACTCCTCAAGTGGCCACAACGGCTAGAACTGAGCTGGTCCGAAACCAGGAGCCAGGAGCTTTCTCCGGATCTCCCACACGGGTGCAGGGTCCCAATGCTTTGGGCCATCCTCCACTGCTTTCCCAGGCTACAGGAGGGAGTTGGATGAGAAGTGGAGCAGCCGGAACATGAACTGGTGCCCAAATGGAATGCTGGTGCCACAGGGCAGAGTATTAGCTGGCTTTGCCATGAAAATCTCATGATGCAAATTTTTGAGAAGCAAATAAAAATGTAATTAAACTCATACTCCTAGATAACCCTTGGATAAAATGTGAAATAAAAGACAATACTATAAACTATCCTGAATACAATGAAAAGAAAGCCCCTCATAGCAATGTATTATATACATTTCATAGTGTATTTGTATATCAAAATGCTACCTTGTATGCTTCAAATATATGTATAATTTCTATTTGTTTATTTCAATAAAACTGAGGGAAAAGAATCAGCTGAGAAGTGACTTAGATTCTGCATGAGGCCTGTGAATTCGCATTTTGATAAGCTCCCTGGGTGAGTCCCATTCATTAAATGAACTATTAGAGATAAATGTTTAGGAAAGTCAGGATCTGCTCAATGAATATTGATTATTCTTTCTGTTTCCACACTCTACAGATCAGAAAACTGCTTCTCCTGAAAAGTTATCTTGCAAAAGTTAAAGTTAGAAGGATAAGTCCCTGGGAAAAACAAAACCACCTGAGGTTTTGTGCATTAATGTATGAACAGCCAATAGAACAGCATGACTTAATATGGCAATATCTTTTTTGTCTGCTCAGTGAACCAAACTGATGGGATACAGAGAAACATGTAACTGTGAATGCAAAGGACAAAACAAAAAGAACATTTTACTTTTCTTAGGTATTAGGGAAAAATGTATCAAAATAAGCCAAAAAGACTAAAAATGGACAATTGATTAACAAAAAATCTAAAAATAAATTTTAAGTATCCCCCCAAAAAACCCAAACTTTAAAGCTTATTCTTTGAAAATGCCACCACCAACAACAAAATAGACAAATACCTAGCAAACTTACTGATGAGAAAATGATGAACATCAGAGATATTTGGAAAAGTCATCTAACCACAGATAACATGAAGCAAAATAATCACCATAGTGCTATTGGTAACTCTGAGGCAATAAAATTGAAGAAGTCAAGCAAATTATTTCTTAGAAAGGCACAAAATTATTAAAGCTGATCCCTGGGGCCAGCGTGGTAGCCTAGTGGCTAAAGTCCTTGCCTTGCATGTGCCTGGATCCCATATGGGCAACGGTTCTAATCCCAGCATCCCTACTTCCCATCCAGCTCCCTGCTTGTGGCCTGGGAAAGCAGTGGAGGACGGCCCAAAGCATTGGGACCCTACACATGCATGGGAGACCCAGAAGAGGCTCCTGGCTCCTGGCTTCTGACTGTCTCAGCTCCAGCCGTTGTGGCCACTGGGGATGGAAGATCTTTCTTTTGTTTCTCTTCCTCTCTGTAAATCTGGCTTTCTAATAAAAATAAATAAATATTAAAGAGAAAAAAGAAAAAGAGACAACCCAGTTGATTCCCCAAATGGTTTCAATAGTCAGGGCCAGGTGAGGTTAAGATCAGGAGCCAAGGACCCAGCTCAGTAGCCTAGTGGTTAAAGTCCTCACCTTGTACATGCTGGGATCCTGCATGGGTGCTGGTTCTAATCCTGGTGACCCCGCTTCCCATCCATCTCCCTGCTTGTGGCCTGGGAAAGCAGTCAAGCGTGGCCCAAAATTTTGGGACTCTGCACCTGCGTGGGAGACCCAGAAAAGCTCCTGGCTCCTGGCTTTAGATTGGCTCAGCTCCAGCTGTGGTAGCCACTTGGGGAATGAATGAGCAGATGGAAGATATCTCTCTATTTCTCCTCCTCTCTGTAAATCTGTGTTTCCAATAAAAATAAATCTTAAAAAAATGCTTTTATTTTTTTTCAAATTAATGTTTCCTTGAGTTTTCTAATAAATGCTGTGGTATGAGGATATGATGCAACAGGTTAAACACATTCGAAAAGAGCTAAAATTGTTGTGTTTTTTTGTTTTGTTTTTTTTTTTTTTTGGCTGATGACAATTTGATGAATATGCTGATTTAAAGCAGTGTCATGTAGATATTATTTGATCAATGGGGACATTACAACAGATCATTGATCTGGATAGAAATAAAACCAGACAGATTCCTCTTTCATATCATACACAAAAATAATTAACAGATAAATTGAAGCTGTGAACTTAAAAAGCAAAACAGCAAACATCTTGCAGCTTTGAGGTGTGAAAGACATTTTCACCAACTCTGACGATATGAATAAAAAGATATACTTGATTATAAAAATCAAAAAGTCTTCTGTTAAAACAAACAAAATCAATAGACAAACAACAGATTTTGGGAGAAGTTTCCACATGACAAACAGTTAATAGTTGTAATAAAAGGACTTTCACAATTTTTTAAATGAAAAGGGCCAAAGAAAGATGGGTAAAGCAGAAGACCAAATTCCCCAAAATAAATCCAATGACCCACAAGCACTTAAAAAGAGGCTCAATCTCCTTAGAAACAGAGCATAATTAAAAAAAAAAAAGATTGAAATGGCACTCTGCTCCAATCAGACTGGCAAACATTTAAAACAAGATAAAATTATCGCTGATGAGGTCTCAGAAAGAAGGGCTCAAGCATAGGTTGATGGTACAAACACGTGAAGAGAACTTAAATATTCCTTTAACCCAGCAATATACTTCCTGAGGATCTGTTCTATAGGAATATATGCAAAAGCACATTAAATGGAATGAAGTACAGTAATGCCAATTGTCTCAAAGAGAATTCTTTTAGATGAGAAGTGCATGTATAATATCCCATATTTGTTAAACAAATAAAGACCATAAAAATCTATATCTGCTAATTAATTATGAATGCATGTATATTTATGTTGCCATTACAAATGTAAATTTATGCAATACATGCTTACAGAAAACAAAATTATAATAAATTATTTAAACATTCAACTCAATAAATACAAATAGGACTACAAGATGTAGGAATGAATTGATGGAAGCAAAAGTAGAAACTGACATCAGTGAAAGAAAAAAGGGACTGATAAATAGAACCAAAATTCAAGAAACCTCTAAAAGGGTGTAAGGAAAGAGAGAACATATACAACACAAGGAATGAAAAAGAGATAAAACTACAGACACCGGACAGCTAAATGAGACTGTTGATGCAACTGGATACTAATATGTAACCAAACCTTGGAAACAATACATTGCTTTCCAGGAAAATATATCGTCTCAAAATTGACTGAAAAGGAGATTGAAAAAAGGAATAAGTAATACTGAAAAGGTTATTTAATAATCCATGCTCCCCCAAAGAACCAGAAAGTCTGAAATATGAACATCTTCTGAAGTCCTGATCAATGTTATGTTTGCAAAAGAAATAAACAAAAACGTGCAAACACATCACATGGACACACGTAACAAAAGACTAAATTTGTGTGTAACATCGATTGGATGTAGGGAAGTTTTGTTGTCTTTCTTATGTTCTTCAGCCTTTCATCTTCCTTAGATTATAGAGTGGCAGCATGTGACAAAAAGCAGAGAACAAAACAGAACAAGTCTCAACCAAGAGGTCAGATATGTTAAGAGCTGGCAACCTGCATTTCTGTGAATAGTGCAGAGGTGTGCCATCAGGACTTACCTGAGCGTCCCAGCCACTCTATCCTACTCAGTTCTGACCCTGAGGAGACACTAAGCAAATGCCTTTACCTTGTGTCCACATGCAGCTCAGCAAGCAGGTCACTGTGCACATAATCCCAGGACAGTTCTACTGCAGCCAAGTAGTATTTTCTGGTGGCACTAAAGCTCAATTGTAAAAGGCACAGAAAGGAACAGGTGGCGATCACTATTTGCATGGCTGTTCAATGGGAGAATCAAAAGATTCTTTTCTAAAATAGCTTTGGCTTGCAGGAAAGAGAGGATTTAGTGAAAAGTCCCAACTTTTTCTTTCTTCCTTTCTTTCTTTCTTCTTTTTTTTTGTAGAGGATTTTAGGGAGTTTACCCAGTTGTTGACACTAAGCAGTAGCTGAAAGCATTGCTTCCTTTCTGGCAGAGGGAAGCCGCCACAGGAAGATCTGAGGAGGGAAAGAGGAGGCTGAGCTAAAGTTTAACCCATTCACCTCTGAGAGCAGTAGGTGCACTTGAACTCTGCTTAATCAGAACCAGGAATGTATGGAGGCACAAACAGGAAGAAGAGGTCAAATTGGAGAGGAGCTTTCATTCCTGCCCTCTTCCTCAGCGGTAAAAACAAGGCAAGCTTTGAATGCCACTGAAGATTGTAGAACCCACTTGCACAGATAAGAGAAACAAATATCCTGCTAGTCTCCACGCCATCACACAGCCACCACTAAGTGATTCTTTTACGCTATGAAATAAGTCATGTCACTGTGCTCAGAATTTTCCACTGGTTTACAGCTTCCCTCAGACTACAATCTCATGCCTAAACCATGGCTACCATGCTGAGTCTACATACCCCTTCTCCTCACCGCTCTGGTCTCCTATTCCTGCTAACCAGCCTCCATGTTCTTCCTCAAAATGCGACACATTACCTTTCGTCTGCTGGGAGCACACTCATGCTTCAAGACCAAGACAACTACTTCCTCTAACCAAAGTGTCCTTGGGTGGGTTTTTGGAGCAGCAGTAGACAGCGCTTGGGACACCTTCATTGCATATCAGAATGCCTGGCCTTGTGTCCTGGCTCAACTTCCAATTACAGTTTCTTGTTCACGTGCAGTGTCAGAAGTGACAGGTGATGGCTCATGTGCTTAGGTCCTTTCACACTCACATGATTTACCTGGGTTGAGTTCTCCACTTTTTCATGGCACAGGTGAGACTCTTGAGGACATTTAGGGAGACTGAATCAGGAAACAGGAATACTCTCCCCAGCCTGCAACCTTTTAAAATCAATACTCATTAAATACGAAACAGAAGCCCAGGTCTCATTCCCATACAACTTTCAACTCTCAGCTCCACTCTGGCCTGACTGATAAGCTTCCATGTGAGCATGTTTACTTTGTAAGTTCTGTACTGCCACTACCGACATTCGTCTTGACTTTGTTTTTCTTGATAAGTGTGTGGCATTTATTTATATTTTGTATTATCTAGTGCTTATCAAGTTTGCTTGCTTTCAGCCCAAATATAGAATAGATGAGGGAGACATGTTTGTGGGAAAACACAAACAATTTTGAAAATCACGCATAGTTCTTTTCATAATACACATTTCCCATTAACTTTTTGACAAATCCTCAAATTTTGGCACATCAAAATTTAGCCATGTTGAGCTGTGGTCAGGGAGGATGAGGACTGCCGCCCAAAGTTCTCAAACTATATGAGCTGGTAAGAAGAACTATGACCAGATTACTAGAAGATTATCATTGAGTCCAACTGTGTGCAAATAATAAATTTGGGGGCTGATGGTGAGTTGTTCAACTTTGAAAAAGTAGCTAGGACCTCCTCTTTGAAGCCTGGCAAGCTTAGGCAAGTCATCCACGTGTGCACGGCTTGTAAGCAACAGCATTCACGCGTGATGATTCTAGAAGTCATGCTTCTAGTCACCATACTATATCCCTAGTCACAGTCCCTAAGTCGTGGGTGTCACAGTGCAACGGGAAGATGGAAAGGTAAATGGGTATTGCCACATGACAATCAACTCTGCCAGGGGTTTCATTATACTTAGTCTTAAAGCAGTTTCTGGAAGCTGCTGCTGAATTCCACCTACCCCCGCTCCCCACCAAGATTTATTTATTTTACTTTAAAGTTAGAGTTACAGAAAAGAGAGACATAGAGATTGATCTTCTACCCTCTGGTTCACTCCCCAAATGGACACACGTCTGAAGCCAGGGGCCAGGGACTTTGTCCAGGTCTCCCACGTGGGTACTGAGTGCCAAGGCTGTCTTCCACTGCTCTCCCAGGCCACAGGCAGGGAACTGGATGGGAAATGGAGCAGCCAGGACACGAACCAGCACCCATAGTGCATACTGGCACCACAGGCGGAGGATTAGCCTGTACACCATCGCAGCAGCCTTCTAATGATGTCCTTTATACCTGTGGGCCTTGAATAACACAAGCTGTTTCGATGACAAGAGGATTGTAAGGGTGGAGTGGGTTCGTGTGAGCGCTTGTTTTCAGTGCCTGTCACACATTAAAGAGTCGCCCTAGGCCCTGCAGACACAGACGCTCACTTGTTTCTCTGACTTGTGACCTCACTAAGCAGTGACCAGAACACACAGAGTTGCCCCTAAAGAACCCACCTGCAGGCCAGCGGGCAAAAGCCTAGGGAATGGCAGGATTGCCCCGACCCTCAGAGACTTTCTGGGCATGCGCGGCTGACAGGCGGGGTCCAGCCACACCCGGCTCTGTGACGCGACCTCTCCCGGGGGAGGGAAGGGGCAGCGCAGCATCTGGTCCGCCCTCTATTGCTGCCGCCGTGGGAATGGAAACATCTGCCCCACGTGCCGGAAGCCAGCTGGTGGCGACAAGCACGGCGCGCCACACCACGCCCCACCGCGCCGATCCCCTGCGCGAAGCCTCGCGAGACAAGCTCGCCGAAATGGCCGCGTCCAGTCAAGGTAAGGGCTGGCCCGCCAAGAGCCACCTTCTTGGGCTCCGGAAGCAGACGAGCTTCCTGCCTGCCGGTCCCTACAAAACTCTCGGGAAAGCCGACGGACTAGGAGCGAAGAGCAAGGAGAGTGTATGGGTTTTACTCCTTCCTGACCCAGCGACCTCTAGGGTCCGGTCAAGGTCACGCAGTAGGCTGGGGGGTGCACGGCCCCCTGATGATGCTTTCTCTAGCTCATGCAGCCTTCCAGCGCCGCTCTCCACGCCGAAACCAGGCAACTTTGTGTGCCTGTTCTCAAATGGCCGGTCCGTTCAGAAACTGCGTCATCTGATGCTTAGGTCGCCTCTCCTAGGGCGCTAATAGTTTTGAAACACTAGCACACACTACTTCTCCATGCTTCTTTTTTTTTGTTTGTTTGTTTGTTTGTTTTGTTTTGTTTTCTTTTTTTCCCCCATGGCTCTGGTTAGCAAGGAGATGTTGCTAACTGCTTATCACATTCCAGTTTGTACACGAATTAGTTACTACCATTATTATCATTGGAATTAATCCTGGAAAGGCAAGTAAAGAAAACTGTTACAAGCCAGTCTTAAGTATTACTGACGTTTTTTCCTGCTCCTTTTAGTTGTTTTTAAATTTTAAAGGAAAAGGACTAATTCTACATTCTTTAGCTTTTTATTCTCTAATAAAGACATTAATAATTATTGGCTGTAGTCTGGTTTTTCCAAAATTGTAATTCAGAATTTCAGAGTTCATATCCTATGTTTAATAACATTCAAAAGCTCTCTGTGGAAAAGTCTCTTAAATCTACTTACAAAAGCTACTGACTTATTATAAAAGGAAATCTCTTATTATTTACTCTCTTAATTCTTGTAGGACACTTTGAGGGAAATTTTGATTCGCTAGATCTTGCAGAATTTGCTAAAAAACAACCATGGTGGCGCAAGTTGTTTGGACAGGAATCTGGGCCCTCCTCTGAAAAATACAGCGTGGCAACCCAGCTGTTAATTGGAGGGGTCACTGGCTGGTAAGTATACTGGTCCACCTCTTATTACTGCAACTTGACTTTTACAGTGTCACAAGAACACCCAGTGGTGGGTCAGATGCTTGTATCGGTGAAGGTGGTGTTTGGGATGCCCTAAATATATAGCTAGGTTCTAGTCCTGACTCTTCTCTGCACTCCAGCTTCCTCTTTCCACCTATGGAGTGAGGAGATGATGGCTTGAGTTGTTGAATCCCTGTCCCCGATGTGGGAACTTCTGGCTTCTGCTTGCCCCAACCCTGGCTATGGCAGGCATCGGAAGAGTAAACCCACAAATGAAACATTCTTGCTTCTTTGGTTCCCTCCTTCCCCCTACCCTTTGGTTTTTCTCTCTCTTACTCTCCCTCTGTCTTTCAAACAAGAGTGAAAGTAAATTTAAGAAGGAAAACAAAGCACACTGGCTTGTGCAGCTAAGTCTTAATCTCCCGCAATCACTGCATTCTCAAATGAGGAAAGTACTCACATGTCTGATCCCTCTTCGTTATCTGTCAGTCCGTGAGCATTTCTCCTCTGCAGTCTTTGCCTTCATCCGCACTCCCCGACTCCCTGGAATCTACTCTTCATGCTGTGGTGAGAGGCCTCTTTTACAAATGGAACCTAACAGTTATAAGGTTTTTAGTGAACACTATAAAATTTTAGTTCTAAAGTTCTTAGTCAACAGTATAAAATTAGTGAGTAGAAAAGCCCAGCTAGGGTTGGGGGACGGGTGGAGTTGGGCTGTGGCAAAGTGAGCAGGTGTGAATAGCCTGTCAATGTGACTGATGTAAGTTGGTTTTTGTAGGTGTACAGGTTTCATATTCCAGAAGGTTGGAAAATTGGCTGCGACAGCTGTAGGAGGTGGATTTTTTCTCCTTCAGGTATGTATGTGAAATCTTCTTAAATGTTTGGAAGTTCCATTTGCCCGTTGAGTAATGTGGTGTCCATAGTTGCAATGCAGTCTTACCTGTATTACTCTCAAGTAGTTTTTTTCCACTTGTTTTCATGTCCTATGTTAAATGTTAGTGACCATTTGCACCAAATTTTATCAATTCCCAGTTATATTTCACCTCTTGCTTTACAATGTGGGAGCAGAGGTACAAACTCTTACAGCTCGCTGAAGATGCGCTGTATGCACTTTCATACCACTGGGACCTAAGGACACCCAGCGACAGAACTGTAGTTTCACATGGTCTCTCTTGGTGCTGTGGCTGGGCAGATTAGACTTCACATAGTGTGAGGTCCCCCATCTACACTACTGTCTGTTTTCTCTCTCCTTCAGG